GATGTGGGACTCGATCCCGGGACTCCAGGATCATGACCTGAGCCGAAGGCAGTCGCTTAACCAACTGAGCCACCCAGGCGCCCGCCCCTAAACTTTTTTAAATTAATTTTTTTTTTTTTTAAGAGAGAGAGAGCAGGTGGAGAGGGCAGAGGGAGAGGGAGAGAATCTTAAGCAAGCTCCATGCTGAGCACAGAGTCTGAGGCTGGCTCCATGTCATGACCCTGAGCTGAAATCAAGAGTCAGATGCTTAACTGACAAAGCCACCCAGGTGCCCTTCAAATGATCTTTTAATCTGAACTACATCAAAAACTAATGATGTACTACATGTTGGCTAATTGAACATAATAAAAAAATTTTAAAAATAAAATGTTTGAGGTTTTTCCCATAAACAGCAAATCTTGTCAACAAGAACAACAAAGAAGGATAATCTGCTCGTGTCTTTGAACGGACGTTCTGCGGCTCCCTTTTGCTGAAGTGTGAAGCCAGACTCCGTCTGGATGTGCAGGTGCCCCAGCCGGACCCCTGCCCGGCCGGCTCCCAGTCTCCAGTCAAGAAAGATCCGTGGTCTGTGAGTAACACCTCTCCCCATGCCGCGTGCTCTCCCTGGCCAACTCTGGTCGCCCCGTCTCGTGGCACTGCCCCCAGAAGCCATTCCTGACACCCCACTAGTGTGACTGAGCACCCTGGTGTGGAGGCAGCTCCTTCGTGAGCCCCCAGGCCAGGCCTCAAGCCCGCGCATACCTCCATGAATCAAAACCAACTGCTTATGTGTCTTTCCCACTCCCGCCCCCAACAGAGAGCTTCCCCCAAAACCAGGGATCCCACTTCATTTGCCTGTTGTCCTTGGCACTGACAACAGTCCAGCGCGTGTGGGTGGCCAATAAATATTTGTTGAGTGAATGCATAACTGGATCTGTCCCTTCTGACGGCTCCCCTGGCCTTGCCACCCTCCCCGGCCACACAGCCTGGGTCCAGACCTCCCCGTGGGTCCCAGAGGGTCAGAAGGAGGAAAAGAGCACTGGGCGTTACCAGTGTCCTCGTCCACAGACGCCCAGAAGCGAGCTGGGTGTGTGACTGCAGCAAGAGAGAGTGGACAGCACAGGGAACAGCAAGAGAGAGTGGACAGCACAGGGAACGGCCTAGGAGGGAGCTGGAAAAAACAGGGCAGGGCCGAGGCCGCCCCAAGATGGGCCACTTTGCCAGGAACATTATTTCGAGTTAAAAGTAATCAAAATGGGGGTGGCTGGGTGGCTCAGCCGGTTGGGCGTCTGTCTTCAGCTCAGGTCAGGACCCCAGGGGTCGGGCTCGCTGCTCCGCGAGGAGCCTGCTTCTCCGTCTCCCGCTCCCCCTGCTCCTGTTCTCTCTCTCTCAAATAAATAAATAAAATCTTCTCCAAAAAAAGGAATCAAATTGCAGCAGTTGCAAGAAAAACTGTCTTCCTTGTCCTCACCTGCCTAAATTTACATTGGAAAGGAGAGCCTGCGCCAGGAAGATAGCTGTTAACAGAGACTCCCCCTGACCTAAGAAACTTACCTGCTTAAAAGGCAACTTTGTTTTCAAAACAGCTCCTCTCCCCTTCCTGCCAGTGGCCCTCCTCCCCTTTGTAGCCTCAGACCCAACCCTCTCCTGGGCTCCCATAAGCCTCCTGTTGCCTCATTGTCTGTGGAATTTCCACGTCTGCAGGGAGTCCCCATCCCTATGCTATTAAATTCGGTTTTCTCCCGTTAATCTGTTTCACGTCAATTTGACTCTTAGTCCAGCTGGTGGGACCTGGAAGGGCACAGGAAGGTCCCCAGCACGATTACAGGATTTGGGCTCAGCAGGGATTTGTCAGGCCAGCTTCTGAGCGTCAGAGGCTGCCCTTCTGTTCTTCTCAGTGGGTAACTGGGCAAAGGATGAATAGGGGGCTGGGGCGTGTGCGTGTAGAATCCAGTTCAGTGTAAAAGCCTTTTCCAGTAGAGCAAGTTTCAAGTTGATCTCCCGCATCCAACCCCCACCCCAGCCATTCAAGCCCGGGCCTCATGCTTTCGGCCCTCATGGTCACCAGCCCCACGGTCATGGCGGGGCGGTGGCCCTGGGCACTGGTGAAGCGGAGTCAGGTTAGGGGGGCCCGCTGCCTTGGCTGCAACCTCCTGTTTCCCGGCTTCTGCTCCCCAGACAGCCCCTGTCCTCCCAGAAATTCGCAGCCTGTTGTCTTGTCAGGCTGTTTTTGTCACCCTTCCCAGTATCACAGCCTCCCAGTGACTCCCAGAGCTACTCATTTGAGCCCTGAGGAAAACCTATTAGATACGAATTCTTTGTTGGTTTTGGGACAATGGCCTCTGACCAGACAGGTTCAGCTCCCTGGACCCCAAGGGCCTTATTGTCTCTGCTCCCTGCCTTTTGGGGTGATGACCTCACCCCTGCCATCAGCTTCTGGGATCCAGTGACTCATTGCAGATGCCTGGCACCTGAGTTCCCTGGGGATGCTCTCTAAGGACATGGGGCCGTGACCTTTCCTCCTCAGCCCAGGGCTTCTGTCTGTCCGCGATTGCCCTTCTCCACCCACAGAGCACCTACCTCTGCCTTCAAATCCATCCTCCTGCCCTCGGCCGGCATCATCCCTCTCTGCCAGAGAGGATTCCCTCCCATCTGGTTCCTTGTTCCTGACCCCACCCCCAACGCCAGCCTTCTGGCCCCAGAACTCATCCCTCCTCTTCCTGCCGGTTTAAATCTGGGTTTTGCCAGTTGGGCTTCCTTGCAGACCTCGAACAAATTACTTAAGTCTCTGGGCTTCAGTTTCTGCATCTGTAAACTGTGGGTAGTGGTAATTACCTTTTACTGTTGTCCTGTGGATTAGTTCTCTGTTTTTGTTTTTTTACTGCACAAGTAATTAATATATACATTCATTGGTAAAGAATTTAAACCAGACAGGGTAGAACGAAGGTCTCTTTCAGCCACTGTCCCCTGGAATCCTACTTTGATGTGATCCCTCAGGACATTTACACAGCTATTTATGCACACGTGCAAATACACGTGTGTGAATGTGTGTGTATATGTATTCACGAAATAGCTATGAAATGAGGATGGTGGGGGTGGTGAAGAGGTCTGCTTGTGGACCAAGAGAGGTTGGTGGTTACCAAAAGAAAAGCTGTATTTTTTTTTTTTAAAGATTTTATTTATTTATTTGACAGAGAGAGACACAGTGAGAGAGGAGCACAGGCAGGGGGAGTGGAGGGGGGAGAGGCAGGCTTCCCGCCGAGCGGGGAGCCCGATGCGGAGTTCGATCTCAGGACCCTGGGACCATGACCTGAGCCGAAGGCAGACGCTTAACGACTGAGCCACCCAGGCGCCCCGAAAAACTGTATTTCTTATAAAAGCCAATCAACAGGTGATGCCTACAACTGAAAGAGCGTGCAGTAATAATAAAACCCTGCTGTTTCCAGCGACGGAGGCAAATACCACCAAGCAAATCAGCCAAGCGCCCAAAGACGTGGAGACGGGGATGGAGATGCTAGTTTTTCTCAGTAACCCGTCTAATTGACATTCTACGAGCGTGTATAACTGATTCAAATCCTGAAAAACAACCTGTATTCTGAGTTCCTTTCTTTCCCATCAGCGTGGGGAGATCTGCTGCCCACTCCTCCGCAGACCAGTTTCCCACACTTCCTCCCTCCTCCTCTCCTTCTCTCCTTGCCCACGGCCGCCACAGGCTCCCTCTGCCTCCAGTCCCCTCTGCCCCGGCAGCCAGGACCACCTCTGCAACAGGTTCAGTCAGACTGTGCTTCTTCCCACTCACACACTGTCTGAGACTCACTGCCTCCCAGAGCAGGCTTGGCATGAAGTTCCTGCATCTGCACCACGGCACCAGGCTCCCCTCAGCTCCAGCCCCAGGCTGGACCCCGCCGCCCCACCACACCTGGGATCCCCAGCCTGCTGAGCTCCCCAGCCTGCCCAGCGGCCTGCCTCTCTGCAGACGCACCTTGCTCCTGGGCCTTCCCGGCTCCGAGATCCCTGTTCCCTCTGACGAAACCCTCCCTGCATGTGTTTCTTTAATACGGATCACAAGTCACAGCACAAAATAATTCTGCACTTGCTTTTTCTTTTAAACACTTAGAGATGTTCTCATGTCAATCCAAGTAGGTCTTCTTCGTTCTTTTTAACTGCTACGTGAACTAAATTCGATAATGTCTGTTAAAGCACTTTGCTTGCCACCTGGCACATGGAAATACCCGGGGGGACGTGTGTTTGCTTCACTTCAGTTCCTATCACTCCAACATAATGGAGAAACACCCAGGACACTGTGGGGGACAGACCCCTGCTCAGCCTTACTACAGCTGTGCAGGTTCTCAGTACACGACACGCTCGGTGTCCCCGTCCCCATCCCAGTAGAGGATGCGCTCAGTGTCCCCGTCCCCTGTCCAGCAGATGACGTGCTTGGTGTCCCCGTCCCCCATCCCCGTAGATGACGTGCTCGGTGTCCCCGTCCCCCGTCCCGCGGCAGAGGACGCGCTCGGTGTCCCCGTCCCCGTCCCGCAGAGCTCTCCCACGCACCAGCTTTCTGGCTCTCACCTCAAAGCCCTGCCATGCACAGGGGAGATATTTCTTTCCTCCAAGACCAGACTTGTCACTTCCCGTGAAAGCTGCCCTCCCCCAGAACAGAGCACTCCGCCCTCTGGGCCTGTCCCTGTGCCGTCCCTGCGCTCCCGTCACCCCCGTCAGGAGATCAGCATACTGCCTGGCACATAAAACCCGCCCCATGCACGTCTGTTGGATAAAACCTTAACTTCCTAAAAATCGAATCTCTCTTCCACTTCATGTGTTACCTACAGAAGCAGCTGCCGCTGTGGCCTAAGAGAGAAAGCAGAACATTCATGATCTGGGGCTCGTCCCTTCACCTCTCTGGGCCTCAGTTTCTTA